TTAACTAATTAGTGAACATTGATTTTAGTACAAAATTGCGTACTTTAAAAGACTTTGAATAAACACTGTAATTTAGGTTTGATTAGTAAATTTAGATTTTAGTTTATAAGACAGATTTTTTTTATCATCCACTTAATAAAATATGAATTTTTTTATTGTGTATGTTATACTATTGAATCACAAAAATACAAATCGTTAACAGACTGAGGTAATCATATACTGGTAAAAGAATTATTTATAATCTATACAGATTTATAAATATTTTATAATTTCTAAGTGATATCGACCAGTGTATTTATAAAGCAGGCATCGCTTGTTCGAGGCTAGCCGCCGCCTGCGCTATCTTGTCGCAACCTCTGATTTTACAAGTAACTTGTAACAAAACGATACATTACTATCTTTAGATTACTACACTGACCATAGGTTTACGGCAACGGATAGCTTGAAACCCCCAACAATGAAGTAAATAAGTTATAAGTAAAAACGTTTTTTTACAAATAATTCAAATTCATCGGTTTTTTTTATTAAACTCTAAATATAAGAAACAATAATTTAACTATATTATTGTATTTTGTACGCATATTGTTTCTGCTGAACCAATGAAACTAAATATCCCGGTAGAAGCTCCCAAATTAAGTTTTGAAAAAATAACTTTAAATAACACTTTAGTAGCAATAAGTAGTGGGCGTTTAGTTGTTTTAAAAACTTAATTTATTCTCACATTATCTAGTTTTACTTACATACTAAAGTACTTTATTCGTAAACCAATTATAAAATACCATTTCCTTATTTGTGCTTTGATATTTATCAGTATTTCATTAAAAGGTGGTGTCAATCGTATTAGTTCTTTTTGGATGATAAACGAATAAAAAACTTGAGTTGATTGAAAGTTTTCATTAATGCTTGAGCGCTAACTCCTAAATTGCTAAATAGATTCCTAAATTTGTAATGGACTAATAAGTTCAAAATATAGTAGTGTAATATAAATAATGCTATTAAAATAAATAATTTATCAATACCAACAACGCCATCAGATCACCTCATACTAAAAATGAAATGAAAGTTTATGCCTTGTAAGTCCAGCTTCAATTTTGAGAGGAAATCGACATTATCTAGTAAGAATAAAAAAAAAATGAAACCCGATCAGAAGACAACACGTTTAAGTTGTATTTGCAATGCAACCACAAATAGATATGGTACCTATAGTAGAAATGATTTAAAGTTTTTGATACAGTGTAAGACATGATTTCAAATCACTACTCAAAATATTTATTGATTTGATTGCAATCAGTGAAGTACTAAAATATTTATAAAATATTAAATTTATATATACATTTCCAGAACAATCAAAATTACTCATTGAATTGGAGAAAAAAATAAATATCAATAACTTACAATATTAAAAAAATATTGGAAACGTTTTCAAGCAGCAAACTTTAAGTTTTGTTCAAAAACTAAGACCACCGATGAATTAGACTAACCAGTTATATCTATGAATATAACTAGATGAATTAAAGAACAAACAGGTTTTCGAATCAGTTGCCATGTTTTAAAACATATGCACAGACTATTGTATTATATAACAATCATTTAAATAATGTTACGTATTTGATTAGCACTCAGAAAATGCGAGCGATTTGCAAGATTCCTCTAAAATTCGTAAAAAGCATCAAGTTTAACTCGCTAGCTATTTACCACAAAAACGTATGTTGTTTACAAGATACTTAAAATGAGTTTGATGGGATTTGTTTGGATTTATTATAATTTTATTACTTTTTGTCCATTTAACTGATTCGACTGCCGACCGGCTCAATTCCCTGGAAACAAACTGGTCGTTTGTTCATCCACTAGATTAGTTTAATAGCTAATATATTTGTCACTAGATTGATCAATAAAGTTCACCCAATTAATTTAATGAGTTTTTTTGTTGGAATTCAATGTATTTAAAGCAGTAGTGTCTTTTATTTTCACTTAGTTATTGCATTTTAATTTCCTAATAGCTATTTTAAATAGTAAAACCATCGAAAATAAATCAAATTTATGTTTTTGGTCAATTAAAACAGTAGATAAATTTAATATAAGCCGTATGTTTTATCTATGGTAAAAAGTACAACTTTTAAAGTTATATCCGTGATATAAGGGTTTGGGTTGTACAATGTATTAGAAACCAAAAGGTGAAACACATTTATAAAATAATTTGTTAAGTTAATAAATTTAAGAATACAAGTTATTCTCTTTTAAGAACCGCAGTAAAAAGATTAGGATGTGAATTTCAGTTTATTTTAGTTTTAATGGTAAACATTATAAAACAAATTATCTGGAAACATCATAAGGTTTATATGCAAAAAAGGTTGAGTATTTACCAGATTTTTAAACGTGTCTATATTTTATCATAAAAAAACTTATCTACCTATCAAAATACTTTGATGCATGGCCATGCTTTTGGCCATTTGATGCAAAGCATTAAAATATATCTTCTTTGTAAAAGAAGAAAATTGAATCTAAAGATTTGCATTATATAACAACATTCTTTGCAGCACCTTATCGAATCTATGGTTCCGAAATTGAAACATAAGTAAATCTATTTACCGATAAAAGGGTGAAAGGCAAACCACAATATGTGCTTTAAAAGGTTAATACGAAATACATATTGAAATATTTTAAAATAATAAAATCCTTACCAGTGATTTAAAATTTTAAATCCTTTTACTAAGAATCCATAAGTTTACATTTTCAATACAAAAATGCTTAAAAAAATATTGTTAAACTATTTTAAGGACAGTAAAATATTTCAAGTAGTAAGGGTAGGTTTTTTTTACACGATGACCATATTTTATTACCATTTTCTTGACCATAGTTTTTCTTATGTCCCTAATGAATATTTTTGATTTAAAACATGTGTTATTTTGTGCCGTATGGTAGCTTATTTTAAGTATATTTAGTAAATGTAAAACCTATGAATTTATATTTTTGTTTTTTTCGTATGGAGCTAAACTGTAGTATTGTATTTATATTTTAAAATTTTCACAAACAAATACTTAAAAGAAACAAAATCACACAGCAATATGCCCTAACCCTATTTAAAAAATATCCAAACTACGAACCAAAGGTATTTCTATAGTCTAATTTTTTTCTATTATTGCTCAGAAGCACGGCACGTATAGAGGGTTGGAAGGCGGCACTTCCTGCCAGATGAGCCAGGTTCAATCAAGTCCAATCCCTCCTGATACTTGCAAAGCGCAACAACTTAAAGTCAAAATTACGAAGTTTATTAAAAAATGAAAATTACCACATTTACTTCGTTTATCGACGGTTCTTGACCGATAACCGCAACGTTGATTGTTGAAAGACCTCTGTACAAGTTTATTTGATGGAATATTTATTGACGCTCAGATTAGATGAATATTTAGCTTCTCATGAATATTTCATTTTAATTCCGTCAAGTCAGAAACAATTAAGGAAATTGGGGTGTTCAGTCCTGTTTGTTTTGTAAATATTCACAACGGGCTACTTGTTGAATTGGCAGACTACAGAAAGGGACATTATTAACGTCAACTTGTTCTTTTTTTACTAGTTTCTAGCTGGGATTGTTTTCACATTATTTTTGGTAATGCCTAGATATTGCGAAATTATCACATAGGCCATAAATAGTGTTCCCTTTTATCATATTTTTCCACGCATACTGTTGATTACATACTTAAATGCTAAATTCTAGTAAGAAATAACAGTCCATAGTTTTGAAGAAAAATTGCGGTTAGCAAACAGAATTCATACTCTTGACATCGATTAAAGTAACAACCCGTTGCAATAACTCCTTGAAATTTATTTAATACAATGTCTGTACCTTCCACTATATATTTGCAATATTTTATATGGGAGTCACAGGTTATAAGTTGTATTTAATCTCCAATTACTTAAAATTCCACAAGAAATCTACGGAAGTGGCTTTGAGATCTTTATAAACATTTATTTTGTTTCCAAGTAAATAAAGAAGGAAACTAATTCGTAGCCTGTTTCGGTGTCAGTTTAAATGGACGTTTAAAATGCCTGAGGTGCGCGTTTCATCTTATTTCCCATTTATTACGCAAGAAGTTGAACTTATGAATGGCAAATGTGCTAACTTTAGCGGATTTATGGTTGAGAATTTATCAACATATTAGAACTTTTTTCAAATAATACGCTGGAAACTTGTTTAGGTTAGCCATAAAATAAACTTCCCTCGAGATAAGAAGGTTTAGTTTATAAATGTTTTATAACTTATACCGTAAGTTGAATATATTCACCATAACTGGATTGTAAAACGGAATGAAAATTTAAGTTACTGTTTAACTCAGATTTATTGTATCTGTACTTGATGTGTTGATAGTTATTATACTGTAAAATAATGTCTTAAGGACTGCTATATTTGTGATTTGCATTTAGTTCCAAGTATCGAAACACTATATAAAAATGAACTTTTATGGTATAATGCGGTTAATTTACACATTTACTTGTCTTTTTCGAAAATCTAAATAAATTGATTTTTCCCTGAGTTTGAAGTTATGCATAAACTTAAAACCATAAATGGTTAACTTAAATTATCATAACATAATTGGCATGATGTGTCAACTTTATAATATTTCAACTTTATTACGATACAGGATTCTTAAAATGCAAAGTTTTTTGTCTTTTGGTATTCATCCACTCGTGCGTTTAAATCTTCCCTTAGTAAAAAAGTTCATAACTGGATACCAATGACGACATAGTTCAATTAATGTTTATTTAATTCGATATGAACTGTATGCATTTTATTCTTGTTAAGCTGCAACTACTAACAGTTGGTGACAAATAAATCTAAAATCAAAATATAAACTTGATAAGACACTTTAAAACAACTTTCAAAACAATTATCAATATTTACCTTTCTATTAACCAATCAAGAGCTAAGCCATTAGGTAAATATTAATAAATCTAGTGTATAGTAAAACTAGGATTCATATTTTAATCTTTTTTCAGGATATTGCACCGAGAGCTCTGATAATTTGGGTAAGTTTATTGACACAATATTTCTGCATATATATTATGTTTATTCTTCTATATAGCCACTAACATCTATAAAGTCTACAAATGTTTTAAAGGTAATGGTATTCAAGGTAAAGGTAAAGGTATTTATCATATCTCCAAAATAATAATTATAATAATATGCTCTATAAATTTCCTTTGTACACTCAAAGTAATATTAAATTCTATCCATTATTAATTTTTGACACTAAATATTATTTTATAGCAGCGCATTGCTATTTACGGCATAATAATAACTTAGAACTTTCTAGTTAGGATCCAAATAACATGGTTGATTATTACTTCGTAGTTATTTGAGCTATTAGTGCTTGAAGCAAATTAGTACAAATATAAAAAGGCAACCAACACAAATGCATAAAAGTGTTAAACTATCATTCGTTCAAGCGTTTAAAAAGATTTTTTTATTTGATTAAAAATATGGAAACGTATATTGGTAAAACGGTATTAAAATCACGGTCTATAAAAAAATCTATTATTCCACGAGAGTCTTTTAAAGAGTCATGTAACGTTGACAATGCGTCTCATTTTAGTTTTCTTCAAAGCCAAGTTGAGCTCCTGAAATGTTACAAATGGAAAATAAATCCTAAAACTCTTTGTGAAAGAGTTTGTCCTAAGAGATTGTTTATTTTAAAGGTTTAACTGGTAAATACGCTGAAACAACGTCTTTGTGGCGCTGCTCTTTCCTCAGAAAGCAAAAGTTCAAAAGTTTTTCCGATTATATTTTATTGTTGTTATTTTGTAGGTAAATGTTTAGTTATGAGTAATTGCTAGTTTTCAGCTGATATTAGATACCTATCTATGATATTTTGGAACTACATTGTTTTGAATGTTTTATTTTTTTTATTCAATACTTCAGTATGCAGACCCACCATAGTTTTGTAAAATTACGTCTAAAGTGAGGTGCTAGTGTGGTACACAAATTAACTAAGAGTGATAAGTTGTAAGTTACGGCAGCGGAATATTCCGTCTACTTTTGTAATACCAGCGGGCAAATACAATAAGAAAAATAATTCAACGTCATGTCAGATGATTTAGTACAAAAACAAAGACAAATGGGATGATGGTTTTGTGAGCGCCATGTGTTCTGGAAAGGAACTAATGCAACTAAGGAAAAATGGATATTAGGACAGATAATGGACAAGGTGTGCAACATGTGCAAAATAAACATAAACAAGGACTGTTATGGATCTGAAACACCGATCAGATACTCCCAAAATAAAGGTTGATGATCTTGACTTGTTCCCTTCCACCTCTACACAATACGTTACATTATATATTATTTTTGTATCTCGTATATTAACAATACGTCCTGCACAATGTCCTTCTTAAAACGATATAACGTGAGAAATTGAGTCGTATTGAGTGTATGACTAAATCAAGAAATACCAAGGTAATAACCATATCAATTTTCCAACATCCATATATTGTGCTGTAAATAAGCAAATAACCATAAATATCATGGATCCATCACATTTCCAACATTTCCTTTCGCGTTTGAAATGCCACACGATAAAAATGTTATGTGTCGTGAGGGTTCTATATAAATTATGCGGGTTTAAAAGTCTAGAATCTACTGCAAACTTAATTGTAAATTTTAAATCAGAGTGGTATTTTATCCTGATTTATGAATTTTTGTGCAAAGTCTAACTTTAATTCAATAAAAATTATGTTTCATTAGTTATATCTTAGTGTAACCCTCTCAGGTTATATGGACGTTTTAATACTGTAATTGTGTATTTTAATAAAGTCTGAATCGGAAAAGTGCCACTAATTTGAAAAAGTTGAAATATCTACGCAGCATTGTACTTGGGTAAATTTTAATACAACATTTTACACTGAAAACATTTTAAGCTTACCCCCTTAAAGTGAACACACATTCAATTTTTAAGAAGAGCTACACTCGTTTATTTAAAAACGTCACATACGCTATTTCACAAAACAAGAAATAATGTACACGTGAAATGATGACTATATGTGAACAAGTGCAAAAAATAGTTCTTTGACGCACTCGAAACGGACGTTTACAGAATAGTTATCAAGTACAGCAAAGATAGTTTGTATAGGAATTGTTTCACAGACTTACCATAAAACTTAGTTTTTAGTTTGTGACACTTTCTAAACTTTTACTTACATATGCACCAAGAAGAAAATCGTTGCGTATTAATATTTGAAATGTAACATTTAACATGTTTGCCTTTAAATACGATTCCAAGAATAACTTACTGCAGTTTTTAACAGACAAAAGAGGTATTATCAGATAATACCCTTGTAAGAAACTCGTATATGTTAAGTTGTCTTAAAGCATCTTATCCTTATCCTCTTACCTAAACTGTTACATTTATTGTGTAAAAAGTGGTTCTTTTTAAAAAGAAATTTTCTTAGGCTGACCATAGCTCTGACAGTTAAATCCGTGTACTTAAAACTTTTTGTAATTAAAACCATTTAAAACAGATTGCAAGGCAAATCAGTTCATTACATTCACGATTTCACATTTAAGAGGAAACAATGAACAATCAAACGATTGCATTACCTCATTATCAGTTCTCATCAATAAATTAATGCATTAATTGTCGGATGCAACAAATAATTATGAATACATGACATATTGTGGGAGTATTCATGACTATTGTCCTGGAATGAATAAAACAAGGTAGTTTTTATTTGGAAAACAAAAGGGTTGTTATTGAAATCTACTATTCAAATTTACAATGTTATAAAAAGTTTGTTGAAAAGTTTACAATGCTTGATACTTGGGCGTGTAAAGACAAAAAGAGTCATAGGATTTTTTATGGTTTTGCCATAACGTCAAAACTACCAGGTAGACATTTTCTAAATAAAAGCTACAAAATCCATAAACTTTAAACCCAAAAAAGATGTAACTTATAGTTGTATATGTCAAGTCTATTTGGAAAATCATAAATGCATACAGTGCTTTATAATAAGCCTAGACTAATGTCAGTGGTGTTACTGATTTGGTTCAAATAATCAATTACAATCCAGAAACTCCGTTCCGACTAAAAATAATTTTCAATAAAACTTTTAAAAAGGCAAAGTAGTTTTTTCTTTATTACTCGTATATGAATGGAAATAATTCCATTGATGTTGTAGTATTTGATGCTGAAAAATTTATAAGTTATAGAAAGTTAAAGATACTGTACATTTACAAAATACAGGATGACTTAAAAATAAATAGACAATTTTGTTGGTCAATTACACATATTTTTAAATAACAAGGGGAATGGAATTTACATTTTCATAAAGAACACATTATCAAGTTTCTTTATATCAATGACGATAGTTTAATATATGCTGTTCGGTTCACAAACAATAAGTCAATCCTAGAGTTCTCAATAAGCTCACCAAAGAGTAGGTAGTGAGTTGATTAAAACCTCTCTCAATTAGTATATAAAAACTATACTAATATTCTATTATGTAAAAAACTCAAACAAGACATGAATAAAAACATGCAAAACAACAAGCTGTGTTGAATAAATGAACATTGTGTAAGTCCTTCTACCTGCAGTCAGCGATAGTCCTCTTAGCTGTAAGAAGTTCAATGTGAGAGTAACTGCAAAAAATATCTTTCACATAATACTGCTAATACTGTTCAATGAAATGGCGACCATACATAGTAGGTATCTTAAGCCAAGTATGAATGGAGATGAGTGTAGGATGAGTGGCGCGATCTTGTAGTCTTGTTAGTGACTAAGGCCGGCATTCCTTAGACACAGCTAGCCCATACAGCTAATGGCAACTTAGGGACCTACAGTTTTTAGTGGAATCCGAACCACTTTTTTTCCTTGGTATATACGAATCGGTCTAACTATCAGGATAGTACTGCGGATAGCCGTTGTACTCACTCATGTGGACGTTAATCCACACTAGGGAGTATCACATCCACAGTGCATGCCTATAAATATCCACAATTCGTAACCTTATAATCCGACAGATACAAATTAAAAATAATTCAACTACGTGGAGAAAATCACAACTTTGGTTTTTTACAGCAGCAAGGACAATCCATCTCGTCTGAACATTTTCTCCAAGACATTTCCTTATGTTACGGTGCCATTTGCTTTAATTAAAACATTTTAAGCATATTGCCCGGATTCATCGCGTTTTCTGTAGAATTTGGAGCATGAAACGCATTATTCTTGCTGACTGTTTCGGATAGGTGCATTAGTGCATTATTTGCAAAGCTTCCTCAAACTTGAAGTTGCCTCCTAGTGTTTTGTCCTTTGTCTGAACAACCTGCTACGCTGAACCTACTCTAAAGATTGCGGAGAGACTTATAGGGGAGTCTTGTATTGACGTTGAACAGTAGCTGGACAAGTCTCAATGAACTTAAATACACAAAAAGCTGGACACACTCCTATATACGAACTAGTTTAAAAGCAAACTATACAGTCACTACTTAAACTAATGGTTTCCTGTCAAAGACTGCCTTTGTTTGAAATACAACCACATTGATTTTATTGCTTGACCTTCGTTTAACAAGTCTCATTTTGATAATGCAAGGTTGTAATTAATTGTTTGAGAATGTAAATGAACATTTTCGCCCTCAGGGCATTTAAACAACAAATATTATTTTCGTTATTACTGGTCCGGTAAAGATTGCCCCACATGTGTTGACATTTAAATTTTTGCCATTCACAAGAATAAATAACAGAATTTATTCTTAATGAAAATACTGCTTAAAAATTGTCGAGTCCGGTACTTTTTTTCTTGAAACTTGTTAGTTTTTATAAATGCATAAATTAAACGTAAATTCTTTTGTCAATTACGGTCAAAGCTATCAGTACCGGTACCTCAAAATTGAATGCAATAAAACAAAATAATTTTTTTTATATTAAGCCACACCAAGTTTACTAGAAGCTATTTATTTCACTAAAATGCTACAAATTCTGAATGGACACTTGCTTTTTACGACTTCAAACATCCTCCAAACGACTCAACACTGAAAC